TGGTAATTCTTACAATGTGTGTATTCATTTCAAATGGAAATGCGGAGTTTTGTTTAGAAGGCCTGCAGTTTATTCCTATCATGTTTAAGTTGGAAAAAAAAGTATTTCCAGCCCTACTTCTTTGAAAACATTTCATTTTCAGAAATGAAATGAAAACATTTCATTTTCAGAAACCGATACAGAGAATTGAGTTAAAAATGGATCTTTCTGTCTTGAAAATGCAGGTGCAGTGCTCTTAGTAGAGGATGCTCAGGTGTTGGTATCCTGGGTGGTCACACGGTTCATCCACTCTACTTGAATGTTTCAATGTTGTCTTCTGTGCAACTCTGGATGAATGTTTTTTGATTGTTTCAGAATAAAATCAGTTTTCCTGTCTGTGTTTTCCTGTGTTGTTGCACAAAACGTAACAATAATTTCTGTTATGTCATTGCTTAGTTACACTGAGTGCCATATACTCTTTGAGACAGTAGCGTAATATTTTGTGATCACTAGAAATTCAGCAGAAGAATCTGAGGAATAGAGTTAGATCCAAGTAGTTCAAAATTTTCACAGTTTTCAAGGATTTTTAGGTTTGAATTGCTGGGTTTGGTTACTGAAGTAGGTTAATGTGTGGGTGATGTTATGCCAAACGGTAATATATTCTCAGCATTCCTCATTTGGATATTGTTCATTTTGTATTCTGGTTTCATTGTTCATAACCACAGGCAAAAATATTCATTGTGGAGGAAGCTCTGTGAGTGGCATATGTAAAATATTGTGAAATGGCTGAAACTGTTACTCTCTGAAAGATAAATCCTCTTCTTGCTGCTTTCTGAAAAAATAGTGAAATCTGGGATCCAAGTGCATGATAGGAGTTCATTACGATGAGAGGGTTTTACACAAGCAGTATACTGTAATAACAGTATGTAACAACTGATGCAAATTAAGGCATAATGGCAAATAGGCATGTCTGTTGACAGAACATCTATATCAACATTTGCTAGGGCTCACCACTCCTCTCCCATTTGGCTGACAGAGCTACACCTTCCCTTCTTTCACGTGCTAAGGGTGTATCTCTTTGCTGTATAACAATAAAAGCTGGTAGTCACACATAGTCATTACCTAATATCTCATTTGTTGATAACACAAAACTGCCAAGTGGGAAGAAATGGATTTATCTTCCATTTAACAGCATAGATTGACTCAATGAGGACATGCTCTGGGACTTTCTTACTATTCAAGTTCTTTCTGCTCTCTATTAAAGCAGCTCTCTCTGCTCCTCTTGCCTGTTCTCTTATTTCTTCCTTTCAACATAGGAAGTTGGAACCTCCCTCAAATCATTAGTAAGGACTGTTTTTCAGATAGCTTTTCTGTGTGAATTCATCCCTTTGTTAGAACTGAGAAGCAATGATATTTTTTTTTTTTAAGCATTTTTTGTTTTTGTAAAGTCCAGTGTAACACAACTTTCAAGACAACGCATACAAATATGCATTTCTTCTTTCTTACATTTTTAGTACGTTTGGTTTTAACAAATGGATTTGTTTCTTTTTATTCAGCTATTCTTTGGTAGTTTGCTGGTCCCTTTTCTTTTTTGCAAAGGTCTCCAAGTACTTTAAACTAGTTGTATGACAAGTCAGGTTGTGTAGGGTATGTGTGTTACAACCTAACATATGTGTTACAACCAAAATTCACACATTCTTGTATATATGATACATTTCTGGTTTGTGTAATACTCTTCAGAAGAATCAGATTAAATCTGAGGCTGTCCAGCAGGTTTGCTCTGTCATGTTACATATTGCATCTCTCAGTAGTTCAAGTTCACAGTAACTAATGCGTTGTTTTGTGGGATAATATGTAATTAATTCAGTGGTTTGCATGAGCCTTACTTGTTTAAATGAAGGAACAGAATAGTTTTTCCTGAGTGCTGGCTTTTTAGTTCACTGAACACAAACAGGAGAAAAGGAAGAGTGGAATTGCTGTTACACAGCACAGAGAATCAAGCACAATGCCAGGAGCACTAGATAGTGTAATCCAAATTCCTTTGATCTCATGAGATATGCTCACGTTCAGTGAAATCTCGACTTGGTTCATGTATGGACACGACAGTGCTGCCCGAAGGGATTGGAAGAGATAGCAAATGCAGTTGTGGAAAAGGGTGGAGGAAAGGAGAGAGCTTTGGGGGCACTGCTTTCTTAACAGGCAACTATTCTATGCCTTCTACAGAATAAGAGAGATTTAAGAGTTGTTGCACTATCGCATTAAAAGCACAGAGTGATCCCTTTACTGCTTTTTCAGTCTGCATTTCAATACCTCCAACATTAACTGGTGCCCAGTATCAATATGTCTGATAGGAGAAAAGACAGAGTGAGCAGATGACAGAAGCGTAAGTCAGCAAATAAAAAGTTGCAAGGTTTTTTTTTTCTTACACATCAAGCAAAGCTGGAAAAATGCCAGGTCTTTACAAGCAGCCTCTTTCTGTTCTTTTGGGTGATAGGAAGATGTCTGGCAAAGGTTGTTCTGGTCTCAAAGGTCTAGGAAATCATTGCAGTTATTTTGGCAAAGGCAACTTCACAGTCACTCTTACTAGGTTCCCTATAGGAAATTGCTGTTGTTTTTCTTCTCATTTCTCGTTTTTGTTTTTTTTCCCGACTATATGGTAAGGAATCTTTTCTCAAATAGTACATAACTTTTATTCACAAATGCTTTATTTCATAAAGTTTTTGCCATCATAAGAATGCACAGACAGAATTTTGAGTGATCTTTATCTGCTTGATTCTCCTCGGCTTCTCAACAGATCTATATTACTTTATTCAATGTCTTGGTTCTTTTACTAAGATTTGCAGAGTTGTATTGCTCCTTGTTATGTACATATGAAAAATAATATATAATCAGAAAAACAAAACTGTTAAAATACAAAAAAGTGTGCCTCTGATCACTGGCCTCCCTCTTCTGCTCATTGTTGTGGCATTCGCTAACATTTCACTAACTTTAGTACTTGAAGCATGCAGCTGATCTGTTCTCTGACAGAAACTGACTTTTCTTATTCAGAAAGACAACCAAAAAGATTTTGTTTGCCCAGACCCTATTGCTTTTTTTGTTTAACTTTGGCCTGTGAAGGTAAATTGACACAAGCGAGCATACCAAGAAAAACAGCAGAATTTCTCTCAAAATTTGACGTAGTGAATAGGGGAACAAACGAATTGTGCCTATTCAGTACAGCGTTCAGGAAAAGGAACTCACAAATGTTGTTGATGTTTCTATAGAATATGATTCTTTTTTGCTGTGTTGCGTTCCTCACTGCTTCCTCTGATCCCCCTGGAGATAATTAGATATCATGCTGAAACTCTTTCACACTGAATTTTGAAGAGAAAACAGAATTTTGAAGAAAGGAAGCAGCTGGATGAGAATGTATCCGTTGCTGAGGTTGAACAGTCAGCCTGTGCCCTTGAACAAAGCCCCGGTCTCAGAGGACTTTCTACTGAAATATATGAATAGCTCCAGTATATTTTGGAAAATTCCCTAACTGAAAGTTGAATGAATTATCCATGTCAATTTGATATGTGCTGCTAGCTCGGTTAATAGCTATGTATTAAGAAACATGATAGGAATCGTGGAAGTTGTGTCTCCTACAGAGCCCTTTCATTATATATACTCAGTCTCAGAATAGATACTAAATTACTTTCCAAAATGTAATTCTGAACAATTCTTTCCTGTTTTGTTCATCAAGCCCAAAATGCTTTCACATATAAAGGACATGATTTGCACGTTAGAACTTGTACGTAATAGCACACCATATGCTATATTCAGTATAGAATCTGTTTTATTGTCTGAATGTTGAGACAGCTTTTCATTGTGAGTTATCATGGCATGGGAACAAAGAAATAAATTTATCTTGGTGTATTAAAATTCATCTTTTTCTTGAATGCAATACAACTGATGAGAATGATGATGTACTGAATATACTAATATACTGAATCTGAAAGAGTGGTTCTGAGATATAAATAATCTGACATTTAAGAGGGAGGCAGAAACTTCAAGCTTGTCCTTACCTGTATTATTGAGCTTCCATTGTTTTGAATGTAAGGTGTGCTTGCATATATCTGAATTTGTTATGTTCATGACCTGCTGTTTAATCAAATTTGTAAGTATCCTTTCATATACTGAGGAGAAAATGGCTTTCAGTAATTCGTCACCTCATCTTGCTCTACTCAACATGAGCGGAAGAAAAGTATCATATGAGTATGTTGAAGTCCATTGATCCCATCCAAACTGCTCTACCCCATGATGTGAGCCCTGCTTAGTGGATTGCTCTGTTTCAGAGACCTTTTGTTAGTGATGAAGAACAGATGAACATAGGGAAGCATTTCAAGCATCCATGTTTTGTTTCTTGTCCCCAACAGATGGCAACGTGCTGATTGACCATGGCCTCCAGCAGGTGTCCAGGGTCTCAGGCTCACATCTTTAGATCTGTAGCAGATAAACATGTCGTTCAGCAGTCAGATTCCTCGAGCAGTAAGATAAATCTACATGGGATATAAAGAATAACTTAGCATTATTACAGCTAATTCCATAATTATCACAAATAGTGGCAGTTAGATACCTGTTTCATTGCAGCTTCCAGTCAGGTGGGCAATTTGTGTAGGTCTATCTTTCAGTTCTTTATGAGAGCAAAGAGGAAAGACAGTTTTCAAATTTATTTGGTATGTATTAGGAGATACAACATTGAGGATAGTGTTATCAGCCATATCTGGGTAAACTGCCTGTGCTCACAGGTCATCAAAACTCTGTGGGAGCTGCAGCTATAAGAACGTGTACCAGTTCTATGTCCCTCACTTTATTTCAAAATATGCCTTAAAGACGTAGTGACTTGTTCTTACATCTGTGCTCTGGATTGATAAAACAAATAGTCATCCTCAAAAGATTTCATTTAACTCATTCTCAAATACCAGAACTTACATCTCCTCCATTCTGAATTTTGGGACCTGACGCTTTACCTAGCACGTTTTGCGTTCGCTTTCCAGATCACGTGAATGGTCACTGTACAAGCCCAACATCCCAGAGCTGCAGTTCAGGAAAACGACTTTCCAGCGCGGACGTCTCAAAAGCAAACCGCCGAGGGCCCGGGAGGCCCCCCTTTAGAAAAGCACAGTCTGCAGCCTGCATGGAGATTTCCCTCCCAGTCACCACAGAAGGTGGGTGGCAGTTGCTGTTGTGCTGGCTATCTGTGAATTTCTCACCAGGTGTGAAAGTAAATTTAGCATGATCCTTGTCCAAGTCACTGCCCAGAACTGCTGCCTTCATCTGACTGTTTAGAATTAGAACAACCCCTGTGTGTTACTGTTGTTACTAACCAGCCTGCTCTTGAGCTCTGTGCTGCCTAGGGATTTGGTACGCTGAACCTCAGTGAGCCTTTATAGTTGTCCCCTCACCTGTATGGGTCCAGTGCTTTGCTATAAGAAAGCAGTCGTTCACAGCAGCCTACATAGAGTTATTGTGAAGTTTCAAACCCTCATCGCTGCTACTTATCAACTCTGAAACTGAGTGAGTCCAGGCTTTGCACATATTTATTTATTGATAATAAAGACTGTATGAAATTGCACAATTCCTAGCCACTGTTTACTGTAAAATTATAGCCCATGATCTGATCCATTTATATAACAAAATTCTAGCTTTAATATTTGAAAAAACAGTCTGCAAATCATGAACTGCCTGAGTGCAGAGACTCAGTGGACCACTTACAGCAATGCATTGTGCTTAAAACTTAGAGTAAGCTGATTTTACTTTGGTGTCTGTAAAACAGAATGGCATTCTTTATAACTGGAACCAGTACTCCCCAGTTTTGATTATTATTAAAGGAGATAGAATAAGGGATATTAAATCACTTAGTGTGTCTAACTTTAAAAGCAAGTTGTTGCAAATACCTTTGTTGCTCGCTGCAAATTGCTAGAATTTTTTCCATTTTCTTTATGACAACAGAAGTTGAAGAATAGTTTTCTGTTTTGCCTTCTTATAACTGTGGGGGATCACAAAACAGAATCTACATGTGCAAGACCCAGTAAAAAACATCCTCATTTAATATAGAGAGTTCCAAGATTATGTTCTTGACTGAAACAGAGCTGCTGTCCCATAGACTGTCGTGATGCCCTCTAGCATCTCCTTGAGTTTGATATAAGGATACCATTTACCTACATTGATCCACAAGACATAGAGTAAAGCATGGTCAGATGGCCTCTGGAAAACAATTGTGTTCACTGACTGTTACCCTCTTCCAGCTGTGTCGTTAGGTCTGTAGCAGAAATTATCTCCCATTGCCAGAGGCTGTCCCACCAAAACAGATACAGGTGAAATATGGAACATTTTGTGCTGTCCTTTTCTACATAAGTACTTTAGCTTAAATATAGAGCTTTTAAATAAAGCTTAAATAGCTTTCTATCTTGGTTTTTCACTGTCCAAATGTCTTTTCACTAAAGCAGACAAGTGCCCACATGATCTATTTTTACTAGATGAATAGTAATGTTTTGCAGAGGAAAAGGGACAAAAACTTGACAATAGTGACATTTTAACAGAAAGTGCTGTTTCTTGAGGGATCATGCAGTCATTGTCTTAGATTGTGAGTAGAACTAGACTGATTTCACATACCTAAACATTATCTCAATGAGCTTCTTGTAATTATAACAAAATTATACTTTGAAACAATGCCGAAGAATATACTGGGCTCAAATTTTACCTGGTTGGCAAAGGTATTTTATATCTTCCCATGCATGGCAGTCACAGGCATTGGCATCTGTAGTGTAGACCTGGCCTCTAAGAGGGTGTTACAGTATCTTGGAGTCATCAAAGATGAAGCCATAAGGCTGGTGAGCCCAAAATGTCTAATTATGTTGTAGGCGTCATATAAAATAAGACAAAGTGCAATCTTTGAGCAATTAGTTATAAGAAGTAATTGAAAATACATAGTAAACCTATACATTTCAGTTTGAACTTGGATTGATTAATGACTGTATGTAGAGCATTGTACTAAAGCAGATTTATAGAGCTCTGAGGTGTTTAAAAATTCCTGTGCTTAAAGGCAGTTTTCATTTTTGCAGTCAGCACTTTTTCCTCCATGTTAGTTATTGATTATCATAGCTCTCATCTATTTTACTTTATGCACTACACAAATATGGTAAGTACCATTGTCGCATTATAACTCATCGTGGAAAATACATCACTGCCACAAATAATTTCAATTTCTTTGTGTTTTTCTTCATCCTATGTAGTACTGAACTTTTCTGCAATTCTTATATGCAGATATTGCTGCAGTATCAACACTACTAAATAATTTGACCATGACACCACTTAATTCTTTTCTGCTTCTACTTTTCCTTCTCCCCTACGTCTTCCAACAGTAGGGCCACTGTCAGGCAGAAGAGGGAACCTACAATCCCCCAAAGGTTCCACTAAACCTTTCCCTCCCAGTAACAGCAAGTCACATCCTTTTGAAGGTCCATTGGCTGCTGCACCATTCACATTCTGTTTAGTAAGAAAACTGGCATTACTAGAAGTGTGCTAAGCATACTGTTTTATGAAATGCTTTCAACAATTTTGCAATACACTGATACTTTTGATTGCATGGTGATGCTTTTTACTATCACTGAAGATTCAGTTTCTATTTTTTATCAGTAATTATAATACCTATCAAGTGTAATATGACAGAATACCTCATTCTAGAAAGTTATCCGACTTCCTTTCAGGGACATAAAGTAAATTAATGTAAGTGACTTAAAAAAAAAAATTCTATTTAAACTTATCAGTGATGTCAGTGAAATAGTATTACAGTTCTCAGTGAGGTTAGTGAAATGCCTGTGATATAGTTCTTCCTGCTGCAAGAAAGGGCTAAGCAGAATCTTTAGAGTAATTTATATTAGCATGTAACATGATAGACTGTGGTTTGAGTTTTTCCTTGGATGTGTGGTTTGTATGTACAGGCATGCAGACAAGTTACCTTTCAGGAGGTTTACAAACTAAAATAATTTTCTAATGTACATATTCTCTTTAGAAAAAGAATCCATGTGTCTGTATGTTCAACTTACGTAAACTTTTTTTTTTCCTAAATGCCTGTGCTATCAGTCTTCCAAATTCTAGCTGTGCTGACTATTCTGCCTGGAGTGACTGACATTCAGCTTTCTTTATGAGTCTTAAATTCTAGACTTGCTATTTTGGCAGGTGGTTTGCTTTATTCCTGAAGGTTTTTATATTGAATAGTGTGATAGAAAGTGATATGATGCTTGAAGGATTCTCGGGTTAGAAGTTAGGAGGAGGATGAAGGAGGAAGAAGATGAGAAGTTAAAAGATTTGAGAAATATTACACTGAGAATAAAAATTCTCTTCCAAAGGTGGAACTGGCTTTGATCAAAAGCTCTGGTAGAGCTACTTAGCAGTATATGCTGCAGTAAACAATTCACAATAAATTATTTTTCATATTCTCATTTTGTGACTAAGATGTGTATTTTGTGTCCTCACCACGAAAGTAGTATTTCAAATTAGGATATTATTCTTCAATCTGATTAGAGTTTTGATTAGAGATTTGCAATCTCAGAAGCACTGAGAACTCTTCATATGTAAAAAGAAAATCCTTTGTGTATGGGTAAATTTCTTCTTAAGCTGGGTGCCTGTTTCTGAAGCATTGATGACAATCGGATATTTCTTAACAATTCTTCCAGTTACTGATCTTAAAATCCCTCTTAATTTATTTATCAAAAAAAAAAAAAAAAAAACATTTTCATGACTAACCATAAGATATCTGTTAGAAAAAATAAATCACTCTTTTCACTTTGGTTTTCAAAGCCTGCTCATTTAAATCTTAGCTTTTGGTACAATTGGAACTATATGTTCGGTGTTTTCGTCAACTGTATTTTCAACCAGCCTTCACACACTACGTTTTCCTGACTTCATTTCTATTAGATGCCTCGGTCTGTTTCAGCTCTGGGCTCCAACTAGCTCCCTTTTTTGACTGCAAATCTGTACCCCTCCATGGCTTGCCTTCTGTTCAGTTGCACAGATCCATCCCTGATCATCTCAGACCAAGAACTAATACTACATAGTCATTAAAGTGATTAAAACTTATTTTCCATCTAGAACAGCAGAAGTACTGATTATGAATTACAGTGTAGGTGAGCAGGCCCCAGATATCTGTTCTTGTTCACATAGAAAAAATTAAACCTCTATTTCAATTAATTTTTTGTTGTAATTTTAGATGAAAGAAAACAATGAAGTTAAAGAATAAAAATAAAAACTGTTGTGTGAGGAAACTTAGTGTGGTTATCCTTGTATAGCTGACTGAATGTGTGCATATGCTGCCATATAGTCCTATTTGCTTTAATAAAATGAAAATAACTAGTGTTTCAGATTTGGAATTTCTCAGTTACTGCTTTTTTCAAATGTTTTTCTTTTCAAAGCCAGTTTGCTGTCTCTTAAAGATTCTTGTTAGTTTCCCTCAAGAGCACGTGCTGGCAGACTTATTTTTTTTTCCCCATCATTACCTGCAATCATACAGAAACCGGAGCATTCTGTGTATGTCTAAATGTAATGTACCATTCATCTTAGGAATGAAGTAGAGACAGAGTGGAGTTTTTGTTTAGAAGTGTTGTATTTGGAAAACTATTTTCTCCAACCATAAGTGATATAAAACTATCTTTCCATTTTAATTATTTTTCCCAACTATGCAGTCTTTAACTAGCCGGTTTCATCACCCTCGATGGGGAAGAGTATCCACATCTTAGTGCTGCAAACTTACCTCCAAACAAGAAAACTTTAGAAGGATTTCATGTGCATTTTAATTCTCTTGGAATGCTAGGAGCAGACTGTGAATTTGCTTTATATTTCTTTAAAATAACTGTTTCAGTATTGGATAACTCTTTTGATTATACATAGTTAAAATTTGACATAAAGTACTTGAGATGTCAGTGAGAGCTAGCAGAAACAAACCATTGAAGAATATTTAACTATTATCTCTAATAACCTTATCAAATATTCTGTGGCAAGTACAATACAATTTTCATTGTAATGGATCTAATATACGCTTAGACCTGAAGTATTTCTTTAGTATTTGCATATAAAATGACTAAAATGATTCTGGGAATAAGCTCTTTTGTCTCTTGCCTGATTTTGTCCAATTTGCCTTAGAAATGGATAGTACTTATATACTACATAC